CACCGTGACTTAACCATGAGCTGTGGGCCAGGCTATGTGGCAGCATCCTCCATTCCTCCTGTTGTAACTGGGCAGCCAAGAATGCAAGACTCACAGAGCAAGAAGAGCAAGCCAGAGGGAGGGTGACATTGTGGTCTGGCCACAAGGGCACTCCTCTGCTTGGGAGGAGTCTTGAGTTCTTGCTCTGTTATTTAGGTTATTTCCATTTTTTATCCAACAACTGTTACAATGCAAAATGCATAAAGAGCTGGATAGTAGGGACTGTAACCAAAGGCTCCCTCTGACAAAAGTGTGCCCTCCTCCCAGAGCCACTGAAGAAACACTTACTAGTGTCAGATCTGCAGACTGACTAAAAGACCTCTTGTTTTTGCCACCCCATGCACTACGTCTACCATGCTGACACGTGTTGTGGCTGTGCAGAGACCCTCTATGCCTCATCATGTGTACTAGCTTCCACTAAGCAGATCTAAAAATGGGGCAGAGGGGAGCAGACTTGCAGCTTTGGCTCTGCCAAGCACGTGCGGTGAGCTCTGAGCTCACTGCTTGGTCAGCACAGGCTGTCGGAGCGCCGCAAGAGCAGTGAGCTCTGAGCTCCTCAGCTGACTGGGGCAAGGTCCAGCCAGAGCTCCTGCTTTCCCATGACTCTGAAGCCCAAGGGGCTGCTATTTGCCCTTCCCTGAATTCAGCAGCGGGTGAAAGAAGGAGACAAGCTGCGGCAGCAGTGCTCACCCCCTGGGCTCTGGGGCCTTGCCAAAGCAGGAGCTCCAGTCAGACCTTTTGCTGAGAGCTAATACATGCAACACAGCCAAAGGGGAGGGGCGGTGGTGACCACACTACCGCGCCCCTCTGGGCCTGCCCCTGCTAGCTTCTGACTCAGAATTGCAGATGGGCAAATGTGGCACTGAGCATATGCCCGTAAACTCAGCTTCTCACTGCAGCAGTGGCAGATCTCAGCATCTTGCCCTGAACCACAAAGACAAACCCACAACATCTGTAGAGTTTCATGCCTGGCTGCAGATTAAGCTCCTGTTCAATTGAGCAATATAGGACTCTGTCTGTAAAGACAGTGGAGTAGATGCTTGAGAATCAATGGTGCAGTGGGACCAGATTGTGGATATTTAATGATATGGAAGCCTACAGCTAAAATACAAGGCAAAAGCCAAGTGTCAAGCAAAATGGGCTTGTTAACATGTCTTGGTTTGAGGCTAACTTGCCTCAATTTCTTGCTTTTTTATTATTTTTTCCAAGATTCTTAATATAGTGATTAGAACCAAGTATTTAGCAGAGGTTTTTAGAAGGGTTTTTATGGGAAGACTGCAGTTATTCCAATGTTACCATACAATGAGGAACAAGTTTATGGTTTACCTTCAGCTGAAGTTCCTTGTATCTTTTAGACATCCTGATGAGTAACTTGTCATCGTTGATCATAGCGGGCTTCTCTTTGTAGTACTGTACCATAGCCTGTGCTGCTTCGCAGTAAGCCATTTCTAGGAAGGCCTGTCATGAAACAGAAACGGCGTGTAAATCTACCGTATGCCAGATAATACATAGCGAAAGAAGAATGTGGTACGACTTCAGTTGGAATTTATTTTAAATGGAGTTTTCTGACACCAGATTTTAGAAGAGCCTTCCCATTAAAACATACTTTTCACAAAGGTTTAGCTTTTCGCCTGTATCACTAATATCTTCAAGCAGCCTCCACCATATTTACAAAAGAGTGGATTAAAACCAGTTACAAGAGACGACATATAACTAAAAACAAGGAGGAAGAAACTAATTTAAGAAAAACAAGAAACCATTCGAAACTTTCAAGAACTTTCTTGAAATACTGAAAAAGGTCTTTCATTTTTCCCCATTTTCTCAGCTGCCTCAGTACGTTATGGTTGATTGGAAATAGGAAGCAGGAATAATGTAACTGAAATTGCAACAAGAGATGCTACTCCTGGGATTTCCAGGTAAGTTTTGTAGACTCCTTAAATATCCAGCCTTTTGTGTGCAAACGAAACAAACATCAAAACTTTCGGGGACATGTCTGTCTCCAGCACAAACCAGGATGAATGAAAAAAAAAAAAAAAAATCAGAATGCTGTTAACTGCCAGCTTTATTACAACTTACTTAAATAAATTGCAATGTGACGTATTTAAATGGAAACTGCAAATTCATGAGTGTAAATTTACCATATTTTAAAATTTGATAATTGAGAAGAATGATTGTAAAATGAGAAATTACCATTTCAGACTTATTCCTCTTCGGTGACTTCCAAATACTTGTTCATCAGTTTACAGTTTAAATGTAACACTGCAAATCAACCTGGGATCTCAGACTCCAGGCTGCATTCTTTGGGAATAACCAAGCACGAAGATTTAGCAGCCAGAGGAGTAAGCATTCAATTGATGAATGAAGCAGAGTCAAATATAATCTACTCTCCTACAGCTATACCAGCTATGCAATAAAGAGTAGGGGAAAAAAGTAAAGGGAACTCTGAAAATATATCACAAAGTAATATGGGCAAAGGAGCCAGTCAAAATGATTGGGGACGTTTTTTTAATTTCTTTTACTTTTAATTTTCACTTTTTAATAGACAGTTTTCACTTATTTGCCTGGCTAAAAAGGCAGCCAGTGTCTGACCTGAATCGCAATTTGATAACGCTCCTTTTGACTTTCACAGCACACTTCAAATATTCAAGATTCTAGTACAAATAAAGAGCTCCCCTACAGATTAATATGCCTAAATTCATAGCATGAGATGCAAAATACCTGGTTAGTAGATTTCATAAGGATATAATTAGTGACTTTCCCAAAGGGAAGTCCAAGATTAATAACATCGTTCTCTGTGCAGCTTCCTTCGGGGAGATTGCAGATGTGTACTACTCGACCAAGGATGGATTTCCTTTGTGGAAACTAAGAAGAACAAAACATTTTAGTACAGCATATAATACAGCAATTAAGTATGGTTTTGCACTTCCAATATAAAATGAGGTTTCAGAATCAATGCTGAATAATAGCTTTTAAAGACAAACATCCCTCTTGCAGCCTTTTGTGGTTTATCTAAGGTGTTTCAGCTTTTCATTGGCAGGACATACGAAGTGGGGTGGTGAACTCGCCATCACCAAGAACTTTTAAAATCCAGATCAGATGTTGTATTAAAAGACAGGCTCTGTTTTGAACAGGAGTTAATTGAGGGGAGTCTACTGGCCTGGATGTCAGACTAGATCATTGCAATGGTGCCTTATGGCCTGAGAATCTATGAACTTGGAAAAAGTTGGGTTGGTGACTGCCAGAAGGGTGCAAGATAGCTGTGGGGCAAAATACATTTTTTCTTCTGGATTGAACTATGTAGGAAGTAAAGGAAGCCCCATTTAATTTGTGAGGAGGGGAGTTACGTTTCTATTTCACGTACTGTACCTACTCCCTTCCTCTTTCACGATGTCAAAACGGCATGCCAATGACTTTCCCACTTGAGGGCACTTTTCCACAGTGAACACACCCACAAGCAGGACAAACTTCCTAATTGCCCTGGCACAGACAGGAGTCTGGCAGAGCAGTCATCACTTCCAGACAGTAGGAATCTATTCTGAAATGCTGGGGCCATTCCCAAAGCAGTCTCCTGTCTTCCATAAGTGGAAAGGGCGGCTTTACACCCCCAGTTCAGAGAGATGTACATGAGTTAACCTACTTAATGATACTCACGTCTCACTGAGGAGGTAAGTGTGGAAATACTTAACTGGACTTATCTTGCTATTTAGGCACTGCAGGAGTTTACTGAAGGAGTAACTGTACCTTCATTCAGAACATCCAGTTCAAGGAAAGATACAAATCAACTGAGCTAGGAGGATCAAGTTCACTGGAGTCATCACAAATGTTTGGCTTGTCATCAACATTTGCAAGTTAGAAAGTGAATGTCACCTATTTGCGCTTGCAAAGCTCCACGCTTTAGCATATTACCATATGCATGTTTTTTGCATTAAAATGCAATGTAGGAGAGAGACAATGTGGTACAGTACTTATTTAGCTGTACCTTAAAATAGGCTGCCTAGAGCCCAGGCAATGAGCTGTTATTGTTATTCTGTGCTTCATGAATAGAGCTTTTTGAATAATATTCACTGACTACATTGACAAATGCATTTTAATGAGTTAATGCATCTTTTTCATTATTACCCAGGCTATACAGTTATTCTGAGTTTATCATCTTGACTTCTCAACTTTTTCTTCAGAATAAAAAGGAAAGTCACATTGTTTTACTAATGTAGGGGTGTCAAACATAAAGCCCACAGGCCAGATCTGGCCCACAGAGCCCTGGCATCTGGCCCCCAGGGCTGCCCTTGGGTCTGATCCGACCCACATGGGGCATGGTGCGCATTGGATCCCTCCAATGGACGCCCTCCACCAGCAGACCTGATCCAGCAACTGCTCCGGCACGGATCCGAGTGGCCAGAATGGACACTGCACATGGCACACTCCAGCTGGAGCGACTGTGCCCCACATGGCACCTGCTCTGGGAAGTGTGTCACACAGGACATCTGCTCCAGCAAGGCAGCACATGTCCTGGACTGGCTGCAGCAGGTGCTGTGTGCAGTACAGTCCCTGCACTGCCAGGGCAGGCGCTGTGTGCAGCCAGACTGCACTGCATGCAGTGCCCGCTGTGCCCCCTCCCGGTTCTGTGCCCTATGCAGCATGGGTCCCAGACCAGCTGGAGCATCTATCACATCGGGTACGCTGGGGGAAGAAGATGAAGTGGGTCTGCAGGCCACATGAGTTTGACACCCCTGGACTAATGCATTAGCTTTAATAGGTGGATACTAAGCAAGGCATTAAAAACACAGCTTCTGGCAAAGAAAAAAAGTGTTAAGGGTGCTGAGCATCTTACACTAGTTTGTCCCCAGGGAACATAACCACTATGAAATGTTTCCATTTTCTTTGATAAAATATATTTCCACTTAAATTTTTTATATCTAATCCCAATGCTAGTTAACCTCCAGTGGATACCAAGTGTGTTTCCTCCCTTAATTTAAACATTCAGCTATTGCACATTAGTTATAAGTGACATATTGATTATTAAAAGAAAACTTATTAGGACTATATATAGCTTCCATAAGTAATTTGCCAGCTGGACATGTAAAGGCATGGATCCTGTCTCCAAGTCTGTATACTGTGCGAAGCTACAGTGCCATTGTGCTGGCTGCTGTATGCACGCACAGAAATTGTAAGAAACAGCCTGTGTCCCAGGGACCTCAGGAACGTTACAATTACGGCCGAATCCAAGAGCAGAGATTTAGGTCAGAGCCCAAGTCCCAGTAATGACTGAATAACACATTCCCTTTCAAAACTGACATTCAGTATAGAAGCTTGCAGGACGGATGCTGCTGGGGCTGTGAGGTGTCAGACTAGGTTGGCTGAGCTGCTCTGACCCTTGATAATATTTTGTTTTGGTTTATTTAAGGATGATGATTGGGCTTCCGTTGCCAATATTCCTGAGAACAACAACATGGTGTCAGGCATCCACTTAGCAGGCACTGTGAGTAACATAAAGCTACACTGGAATAGCCTTGTGCAGAGTGGCATTGAAAACGAAAACATCAACTCATGCCAAGACCGTAAAGCATTTCGGTTTTTTGGTCATAGATGCACGGTGAATAGAGTTAAGGGTTAAGGGTTATGCATATCATGAGCACACATGGGCAGGTTTATATCTCCATGTCCCATTCCTGTAAAATCTGTTGCTTGTACAGATTTATCCAGAAACAGGGTCAACTCTAGATAAAGTTTGGCTGGCTCAAAATACTTGCTAAGATACAACAACATTTTCTCAAGTGGCACAACTGAAGTGTTCAAACAAATATCACTATTTTAAAATCTGAGCGATTAAAAATAAAAATACTATGCCAATGCATTTTCTTTGTCCTGACATGGCTGTAAGAACCTATGGGACTTGAAAAATGTACCTGTCAACTAGTAGTTCAAGGACTAAACCAACTAGCCAGAATGAAAATACCCACTCTCTCACACAGCCCAAATCCACATCTACATCCAGTAATTTAAGGAGGAGTTGCATGCTCGACATTAGATATGGCTTTCTGCAACACTGCCAGTCAATGTTTTTTACAATCAATTTTACAACCAAATCTGTCACATACTGAAAAACAGAATTTGTTGAATAACTCACTTGATGCATACTACTAAGATTCATTAAATACTACTAGTCAAACATTACTCCAAACCTACAGACTCCTTTTCTCATGTTTGCTAGATCTTTTTTAAGTGCTTGGCATTGCGCTTCAGATTCTGTACCCTTCCTCTAACCAAACACATGGCCTCTTTCCC